TGATTGAATCTATTCATCTAAAATGCAATCTTCCTCTTTTCCTGCTGCCCTCTACCTTACAAAGCATTATTGTCTTTCCTAACGAGTTGAGTCTTTTCATTAGATTTCCAGAAGCACACCAATCTCAGTTTAATCACTTTGGCTTCTAGGGATAGTTCAGCTCAGTTTATTCACAAGCAAATCCCACTGTGGTCAATGGGGCGGACCATCTAACTGTCTGTAGAGTAAAAAACACACCCTTCAGTAAATAATTCAATACAAAGGGGCCTTGGTATCTACTGTAATTCCAGGACATACCAAAATCCCTGGGGTCCTGGAACCCCATTATATGTGATAGCATAGTAAAATGATGTTTTGTGTGTGTAATAACATGTTAAATGTGTGTAATGTATTATGTCTTGTTTATTTAAACTGGGTTTTGATTTGTTATATTTTATCCTGAGCATTGAATGTTTGCCACTGTGTTTTATTTTGTTGGAAGCTGGGAAGGTGGGGATGACCTATAAATAAAGCATTATTATTTATTACTAGCCGTCCCCTACCATGCGTTGCTGTGGCCCAGCCTGTGTATATGTGTTTTGTGTGTGTATGTATGTGTATATATGTGGTTTTGCGCATGTGTTGTAATGTAATTTTTATTTTTGTGGCTTCTAAAGTCTCTTCTGCTGTGTTTTTCAGAGTTTTTATGAGTGATAGTCACTCGTTGGCCTGATACATGTATTGTGTACAAATGTGGTGTCAATTCATCCAGTGGTTTTTGAGTAATGTTAATCCCACAAATGAACATTACATTTTTATTTATATAGATTATTACATTTTTGTGTGTGTCAGGGGCTACTTGAGAAACTGCAAGTCACTTCTGGTGTGAGAGAATTGGCCATCTGCCCAGGAGACGTCCGGATGTTTTACCATCCTATGAGAGGTTTCTCTCATGTCCCTGCATGGGAAGCTGGAGCTGATAGATGGGAGCTCACCCCAATTCCTGGATTTGGACCGCCGACCTTTCGGTCAGCAATCCTGCTGGCATAAGGGTTTAACCCATTACATTTTTATTTATATAGATTATTACATTCTTTTGTGTCAGGAGCTACTTGAGAAACTGCAAGTCACTTCTGGTGTGAGGGAATTGGCCATCTGCAAAGACGTTGCCCAGGGGACGTCCGGATGCTTTACTATCCTACGAGAGGTTTTTCTCATGTCCCTGCATGGGAAGCTGGAGCTGACAGATGAGAGCTCACCCCAATTCCCGGATTCGGACCACCAACCTTTCGGTCAGCAGTCCTGCCGGCACAAGGGTTTAACCCATTGCACTACTGGGGGCTCCATAATATTATAAAGATGTTGATTATATAAAATGGCAAAATCAAGCTTTGCTGGGTTGTTGTAGGTTTTTTCAGGCTATATGGCCATGTTCTAGAGGCATTTTCTCCTGACGTTTCACCTGCATCTATGGCAAGCATCCTCAGAGGTAGTGAGCTTTGCTTTGTGGTCTTTTCACACACACACACACACACACACATATATATATATATTCAAGCCAAGTTGAATCTGTGAATGCAGAATCTATGGACATGGAGGGCTGATTGTACAAGGCAGTGTTTTCAAGTAGGGCAACGATCGCTATTGGGATGCCAACTTTCCTCCAGTTTGTTTTATACACAATTTCCACAGGGCAGCACTGAACAATACACACCAACAACCAAAGCCATGATGCTGCCTGAGGCAGTAGAGCAAAGTGAATCCTCACTTTCCCACCCACCCTACACAAATTCAGGAAGCAGCGAAATCTCTCAATCACCCCTCTCCATCCCTGGCAGCAATATCTATGCAGAATGACAACACATTCAATCACGAACCATACGCTGCCCTCTGAGTGACCTGCAAATTCTGCTGCCTGAGGCACTGACTGCCTTACTCTGCCAGCAAGGAGCATCCTCAGCAGCCCTTCGAAACACAGTTTGGGTGGATCTCCAATGTCAGACTACACAGAGAAACCATTGAAACCCACAAGCATGCGGACGATTTCAACAGAAAAGAGGAAACCATGAAAATGAAATCAGGACAGTAAATAAAGAGCAACACTCGAAAAACAGAGGAATTCCAGACAAGAAACAACCAGGGCCAGCTAATCACCCCTCAACAAAGGATCTCCCCCAGGCAGAAAGCAGCCAAGCCTTGAAGCTACAAGACTATTAAATGCTAATAAGGTGGCCAATTGCAACATTCACACCTGCCTCAAAGAGACAAGAGTTCTTTCTCCCACCCTGGACATTTCACAGATATATAAACCCCACTTGCCTAGTTTCCAATGGACCAAACAACCTCTTCCAATGCCTGCCATAGATGTGGGCAAAATGTCAGGAGAGAATGCTTCTGGACATACAGCAACAGTTTGGGTGGATCTCCCAGGATTTGGGAGCATCCACTAGGTCCCTCATCGAACCCACAAGAATCAGCGAAATATCAGGAGAGGAAGCTCATGGTTCACAGAAAGGGAATCCCACTGCGCTTATTTAACCATACACTGCAGAATTAATGCTGTTTGACACTATTCTACCTGCCAAGGCTGAATACTATAGAGTCCTGGGAGTATTTCAAGGTCATCGGCCTTCTCTGCGGAAGAGTGTTGGTGCCTCATCAAACGATGCCTCACTGGAATCCACTGAGCCATGGCAGTTAATGTGGTATCAAACTGCATTTGATGCCACAGTGTAGCTCTGGTTCTCCCCAAGTCTTCTCCCTGCCCTTTCCTCCCCTTCCTCTTCTCTTTCGGAGGCAGAAAATGAAGGAAAGATGGGAAACAGTAGGACCCTAAAAGGGTTGGCTTTGGTCAGGATGAGATGGTGGATGGGAGAGAAAAGGTGCATCCATTAGAGCCCATAATGTCTATTCCTAATATAGAGCCCTAGAGCCGGAAGAGACCCCCAAGGGCCATCCAGTCCAACCCCCTGCCGTGAAAGAAGACACAATCAAAACACTCCTGATAAACAACCTCTGTGGAAAAGCCTCCAGAGAAGGAGACTCCACCATAGTCTCAGGCAGCCTATGCCACTCTCCAACACCTCTTACTCTCAGGAAGTTCTTTCCCTTCCATTTGAAACCATCGCTCCCTTGTGCCCTGGTCTCTAGAGCAGCAGAAAGTCAGTCTTCGCCCTCCTCCTCTTCAGTGAGACACCCTTTGAAATCTTGAAACATGTTCCCTCTCTATTTTCTCTTCTCCCAGCTAAACATCCCCCAGGAGGAAAGGAGGAAGAAAAAAGAGAAGGAAGGAAAGGAGGAAGAGAAGGATGGAAAGAAGGCTGGAAGGGAATGAAGAGAGGAAAGAGAGAAGGAAGGAAAGACAAAAGGGAAGGAAGGAAGGGAAAAGAGAGAGGGAAGGGAAAAAAGAGGGAAGGAAGGGGAAAGAAGGAAGGAGAAAGAGAGGGAAGGGAGGAAGAGGGAAGAAGAAAGAAAAAGGGAAGAGAAGGATGGAAAAGGGGGAAGGAAGTAAGGGAGGGAGGGAGGGGAAAGAGAGAGGGAAGGAGGGAGGAAAGAGAGAAGGAGGGAAGGGCGAAAGGAAGGAAGGAATGAAGAAGAGAGAGGGAAGTAGGGAGGAAAGAGGGAAGAAAGGAAAGACAAAAGAGAAGAGAAAAATGGAAAGAAGGGTGGAAGGGAGGAAGGGAGGGAGGAAAGGGGAAAGGGAGATGGAAGGTGGGAGGAAAGAGGGAGGGAAGGAAGGATGAAAGGGAAGGAAGGAAGGAAGGAAGGAAGGAAGGAAGGAAAGAGGGAAGGAAGGAAGGAGAAAGAGAGGGGGAAGGAGGGAGGAAAGAGGGAAGGAAGAAAAGGAAAGAAAGAAAAAGAAAAGAGAGATTGAAGGGGGAGAAAAGAGGCAAGGAAGGAAGGTCTAAAGGGAAGGAAGGGGGAAAGAGAGAGGGAAGAAGGGAGGGAGGGAGGGGAAAGAGAAGGGGAGGGAGGGAGGAAAGAGGGAAGGAAGGAAAGGGAACGAGAGAGGGAAGGAGGGAGGAAAGAGGTATAGAAGGAAGGACTAAAGGGTAGAAGGGAGGGAAGGAAGGAAGGAAAGAGAGGAGGACAGATAGGATGGTGAGGGAGAGGGAGAGCAGGGCCTGAGAAAAGAGCACAAGGGGCCCGCATCTGCCCCCCAGAAGCCTGGGTTTCCCCATACCTGGTGTAGGTTCATTCTAAGACATACCTGGTGTAGGTTCATTCTACCCTGGGCTCTTGAAAGCAAGCTCCATGGCATGATCATTGGATCCATTCAACATAAACATGCAAACCTATAGCTTGGGGAGGGCACATGCTTGGAAATGTAGGTACACTTACATTAGGCCTGCGCCAACTTGGGCCCTCCAGGTGTTTTGGCCTTCCGACTCCCACCATTCCTAACAGCTATGTTTCCAAAGCATTGATCCATGGATATTGAGGGTGATGCCTGCCAGACTGCATCCATTCCCGGGAAGGTGTCCCTATAGTGCTCCAGCCTGCCTTTGCTTACCTGGGGAAAAGGTAAGCCATGGCTCCCTCCTGAAGCAGGGATGGATCCCTCTCCTCTCCTCTCCCCCTCCCTCTCTCCTTCAGGCCTTTAAAGGACGCGTGGAGGTTTGGGGGGCGCGTGGGCGGAACTGGCGAGCTTCTCCCGGTCACGACTTATTTGCGAGGCGACGAGACACGCATTAGACACGCGTTTCTGCATTCACACGTTCCTGCACTCTCCATTTTCCAACGCATGATTAGGCAGAAACCATATTGGTAAAACACAGGAAATGAGACCACCTCAGACCCCACTTGGACGGCCATGGAAGCTTGGGAGGTGTAGTTTGGTGAGGCCGAACTACAACTCCCGGGATTCCATAACATGGAGCTGTCAATCATCCAAAGCAAAACACACACATACACACACAGAGAGAGAGGCTTAAAATGAACCTAAGTGGGAGAGCTGCAAAGGCTCTACTTGGGAGTCAATCCCATTGGAAGGAAGCAAGGCACCCAACCCTCCTGGTTACCTTCTTGCTGTCAATGGAGGAGGAGGAGGCGGAGGAAGAGCGCCCCTGCCCGAGGTGGTCTTGTTGTGGGGACATCGCTTCCATCAAGACCCCTCGCCCTTCAGGCCGCCCGAAGGGAGCCGGGGGTCCTGGCAGCAGCAGCAGCAGCAGCAGCAGCAGGCGAGCCAAGGAGAGGAGCCACCCGCCGCATCTCCCGAACCCAGGCCAGGATGAGCATCTCCCCGAGTCCTGCGAGCAGCAGACCAGCGCCGAGGGAGGCCACGCCCCCAAGAGGGAGGCCACGCCCCCAAGAGCCAATCCAGGTCCAATATCGCCGCTAGGCTCCGCCCAGGGGTGGAACCCTTCGACGTAGCCACGCCCCCACCCCTGCGGAGCTGAGCCGGCGAAGAGAGGGACTTGGGCGTTCGGCCACGCCCACTCTGCTCTGCTGGCCACGCCCACTCCGGAGACAGACTGCAGCATTGGGGAGGGGGATGTTTTGAACTGGGATCTGCGATGGAAACGACATAAGCACGCTCAAACACATTGTATAGGGGTGTGTGTGAATCTATGACTGTGTGTATGTGTGTGTGTGTATATATATATATATATATATACACACACACCCACACATACACACACACACATATATCTATCATATATATATGTGTGTGTGTGTGTGTGTGTGTAAATATGTATACGTAGGGGTATCTCTGTGATCGTGTATGTATGTGTATACACACACACACACATATATACATATACACACATAAATATATATGTGTGTATATATATATGTATACATAGGGATATATCTATCGTGTGGGTATGTGTGTGTGTATATATATATATATACACACACACACACTGTATGTGTATATGTGTATGTGCTAGCTGTCCCCTGCCACACGTAAACAGTAAACAGTATTTCTTGCTGTTGCTGTTGTCAGTGTTGATGTGGAGATTGTCTGGTTTGCCTACTCTATGACATGCAATATCTAATTGTCCTTCTTTAGGAGTCCCTTTCAAATCTATACTATATCTATCTGTGTGTGAATCATTTCTATCTATCTAATCTATGGCTGGATGGCTCTTTGTCAGGAGGACTTTACGTTTTCTTGCCCTGGTGGAGGGAGTTGGACTGGGTGGCCTTCAGTATGGGGGTTCTGTGTGGGAAGTTTGCCCCAGTTCTGTCGTTAGTGGGGTTCAGAATGATCTTTGATTGTAGGTGAACTATAAATCCCAGTAACAACTCCCAAATGTCAATGTCCCCTAAACATCATCTGTGTCCATATTTGGGCTTATGGAACATTCGTGCCAAGTTTGGTCCAGATCCATCATTGTTTGAGTCCACAGTGCTCTCTGGATGTAGGTGAACTACAACTCCCAAACTCAAGGTCAATGGCCACCAAACCCTTCTAGTGTTTTCTGTTTGTCATGGGAGTCCTGTGTGCCAAGATTGGTTCAATTCTATTGTTGGTGGAGTTCAGAATGCTCTGAACTCCACAAACACACATATATACTCATAGACACAAATACACACATATATACACACATATATGCATATATATATACATACAAAACACATACACAGAATATACACAAACATATACACAAATATATACATGCACATATATGCATATATACACACACAATACATATATACACAGAAAGGGAGAAGGAAGGAGAGAAGGAGGGAGAAAAAGAGGGAAAGAAGGAGGGAAGGAGAGAAGGAAATAAAAAAGTGAAATAAGGAAGGAATGAGAGAGGGAAGGATGGAACCAAAGAGCAAAGGAAGAGAGGAAAGACACAGGTAGAGAAGGAAGAAAGAAAAAGGAAAAGAAAAGGAGGGAAGGAAAGAGAGAAAGAGGGAGGGAAGATTGGCTACAGCAACAGGTGGCAGGAACAGCTTGTGTGTGTGTGTGTGTGTGTTTTAAACTATATACACTATGTGTATGTATGGGATATATATAATATAATATGTATAATATATACAGCTTCACAGGGTGTGCATATATAGTAAAGGTAAAGGTTTTCCCCTGACATTAAGTCCAGTCGTGTCCGACTCTGGGGTGTGATGCTCATCTCCATTTCTAAGCCGAAGAGCCGGCGTTGTCCGTAAACACCTCCTAGGTCATGTGGCTGGCATGATTGCATGGAACGCCGTTACCTTCCTGCCGGAGCAGTACCCATTAATCTACTCACATTTGCATGTTTTTGAACTGTTCGGTTGGAAGAAGCTGGGGCTGACAGCGGAAGCTCACGCTGCTCCCCAGAATCGAACCTGCGACCTTTCAGTCAACAAGCTCAACAGCTCAGCACTTTAACCCACTGTGCCACCAGGGGCCCCATATACATACTGTGCATATATACATACCGTATACCCCATATACATACTGTGCATATATATATACATATATACATACCGTATACACATACATACCCAGTTGATTTAAAACTATATACACTATGTGTATGTGTGGGACATATATAATATACATATAATATATAATATACAGCTTGACTGGGTGTGTATATATACATACTGTATATAAATATATACACATATATACACATACATACCCATACACTATATGTGTATACATATATACACAACATATATGTGTATGTTCATACACACACACACACACACACACACACATATATGCATGCATGTCCAATCAATTTTAAACTGTTTTATATACAGGTCGACTTTTTTGAAACACCCTATAGAGAGAGATATACCATCTCTCTCTCTCTCTCTCTCTCTCCTTCTGTATACTCTTCAGTCCCTTCCACATTGGCATATAAAATCCAGATTATCAAAGCAGATGATCCACATTGTCTGCTTTGAACTGGATTATGTGAATCTACATTTCCATATAATTTAGTTCAAAGCAGCATAGAAGGGGCCCTCTCTCCTCCAGGCCTTGGAGGACACGTTGTGCAGGGAACAGAAGCAAAATCAAGGTTTTGGGGACACATAAAATTAGCATTTTACTGATGTGATATTTTTGGTGTACATTATTTACACCAAAAATTGCTATTATATGCTCTCACTTACCACATGCTATGACTGAAGCCTTACTGCCTTAATTCTTAATGAGACAATATTAAATAGATAGGAGAATTGTGACCCTAGCCAAAATAAATTGCTCATTAATGATACCTTTATTAAACCACCCAAAAGGCACAAAATATTTTTGACCTGTTTGGTAGGAGCACCCAGGGGAGCAATGGGTTAAACCATTGTGCAGGCAGGGCTGCTGACCAAAAGGTCGGCAGTTCGAATCTGCAAGACGGAGTGAGCTCCCATCTGTCAGCATCAGCTTCCCATGCAGGGACATGAGAGAAGCCTTCCACAAGTTGGTAAAACATCCCCTGGGTGACGTCTTTGCAGACGGCCAATTCTCTCACACCGGAAGCGACTTGCAGTTTCTCAAGTTGCTCCTGACACAAAAAGAAAGCATGTTTGGTCCTATAAACGTATCTCTAATTGTGCCTATTATAGATTAACAAAATCTATATTAAAGAAACAAAACGTATTGAATTTACACACCGTTCCTACCATATAACATGCTATTTGTTCTCTTTTGTTGTCGTTCTCTTGTCCAGATTCCTGATGGTGGAAAATGGGTACCTGAGTGCATAGTAATTCCTTTCTGAGACACAATTCTCCCATGAGAGAGGAATCCTGGATTGCTGGTTTTACTAAAAGGATTTGCTTTAGGACGAAGCAAGTCAATCCCCTATGGGTCATCATAATGCCTCTAGAGAGACATGTCTGAAGATTTACTTCAGCTTTATGAGCATTAATATGTCAAGAGTAAGATGTTTCCTGCTCATTGAATGCTTGCTGAGTTTAATTTTTCATGTGAAATACTGCCTTTTTGATATCAGACGTTTAAAGGGAAAATAAGGCCGTATCTCAGAACAGTCAAATTGGTCCATAAATATTTCCACTAAGTTGGATGCAATCATACTAAAGAGCAGAGGCAATGAAGTCATGCACTTTATTATTTCAATGAATAGTAGCTCTTTAAAGATTAGGGATATTGGAATGAAAGTGGGATATTACTAGTGCCACCCCAATGATTCCTCATCATCAGTTTCTACTTTCCCCAAGCAATTGAGAGGAAAAAGAAAAAGCTGGTCATCATTCTGAGGGGAAGGAAAGAAAGAACAATGCATTAGGTCTGGTAGCATACCCTCATTTCTCTCTCCAAAGTGCAGACCTGTTGCATTTTTCCTTCTCCAAATTGCTCCCTGTTGATAAGGGGTAGGTGAAGAGGCCCATCCTAGTGTTTGAAGGCTAATGGGGGACCCAGAATTGTGTGGATAGAGCATTACATTGCAGTCATCCCTCTATATTTGTGGTTTTGGCCTTTATTCATAGACTGAATTAAAAAGTATTATCTCTAAGAATCTATAGATCCTCCAGTATGATTCTATGGTCAGGAGCTATGATGGTGCACTAACCCTTGTGCTACTGAACTGCTGACCTGAAGGTTGGTTGAACCACTGACCTGAAAGTTGGCTGAACTGTAGACCTAAAGGTTGGCTGGACTGCTGACCTGAAGGTTGGCTGGACTGCAGACCTGAAGGTTGGCTGGGCTGAAGACCTGAAGGTTGGCTGGACTGCAGACCTGAAGGTTGGCTGGACTGCAGACCTGAAGATTGACTGAACTGCTGACCTGAAGATTGGCTGAACTGCAGACCTGAAGGTTGGCTGGACTGCAGACCTGAAGATTGACTGAACTGCTGACCTGAAGATTGGCTGAACAGCAGACCTGAAGGTTGGCTGGACTGCAGACCTCAAGGTTGGCTGGACTGCAGACCTGAAGGTTGGCTGAGCTGCAGACCTGAAGGTTGGGTGAACTGATGACCTGAAGATCAGCAGTTCAATCTGCGAGGCAGGGCGAGTTCCATTTGTCAACTCCAGTTCCTGCCAACCTAGCAGTTCGAAAACATGTAATGAGTAAATAAATAGGGACCACTTTGGTGGAAAAAGGCAGAGAGATGCTCCAAGCAATCCTACCAGCCACACAATGAGGAGATGACAACACAGGCTCCTTACCCTGAAAATGGAGAAAGCACCTCCTCAGAGCCGGAGATGAGCACCACCTCCAGAAGCCAGAAATGGAAAAGAGAAGCCTCTGCCTTTGTTTCTGTGTCTCATTGTATATGAGTCTAAAGGCATTGAATGTTTGCCTGTGTATGTAAATGCTGTAATCTGCTCTTAATTCCTAGGGGAGAAGGGTGGAATATAAATA